TCTTCCTGTGCTGCGTCTAACCAGTGGAAACATATGCAGCACTGCAGAGAAGCACTCAGCAGACAAACAAATGAAAATAGCTTACACCTATATGTCACTTTTGAACAGAGGTGGACAAAGTACACAACTTCATTACTTGAGTTAAAGTATAGATACTCCTGGTCAAATAATGCTCCAACTTCAAGTTTTTCATTTAAATTTTTATTTGAGTTAAAGTACTGGAGGACTTGGATCTAAAAATACTTGTTCAAATAAGTATTCAAAAGTACATCTTTTTAATGCAACACATTTTTCAGAACTTAATGACTCCTGAACAAAGCATGTGGAATATGATATTTAACACCCCCCAACCCACCCTCACAAAATGGTAGTGTTCTTACACAGCTCTAGTAGTGTGTCTGTGTGTGGATTATGTGTATATTACATTGTAGGGCCAAAATGTCCCCCACAATGTAATAAAAACCTCTTTTGATGTTGTGGGGACCATTTTTCAGGTCCCCACAAAGATTTGTGAATGCAATCAAAAAACTAAAAATACCAAAAGTCTCATATTTTGTTTAGTTACTTATGGTTATGATTAGGGCTGGGTAGGGGTTAAGGTCGTTATGTTAGGGTTAGAGTCTTCCCATAGAAATGAATGGAGAGTCCCCACAAAGATATAATTTCAAACCTGTGTGTGTGTGTGTGTGAGAGAGAGAGAGAGAGAGAGAGAGTCATGCACAAGCATGCATCAGGCATACAGTGGAATTGCTATAGATGCAACTTCCTATAAATAAATAAATACATAAATAAAACTACCAACCCAGTTACACACCTCTAGCTTTACAGTATAACTGCCCAACAGTTTACTGTGAGTGGTTTTTCTCCTATCACAAGTTTCTAAAAAAAATGATGCTCAAGTAAAATTGAAATATTCAAGTAAATGTGCTTTGTTACTGTCCAGCTCTGCTTTTGAATTGCATGTTGGAAACAGACTGTAGAGTAAGCAGTCTTGTTAAATGTACAGTAATGGGAATTATGCTCCTACGTTTTGTGTTTATTGTGGGGGCAGCACAGTGGCTGAGTAGGTAGTCACTCTTATGTCAGTGACTGTGTGTACATACTGTACGCGCCCTGTGACACACTGGCACCCCCTCCCCTCCCTGTGTGGAGCCCGGCCTTGTGCCCTGTGCAGCCTTGGACAGGCTCAGCCCCCCCACCCTGGGCATGATAAGAGGCTGGAAGATGGATGGATGGTATATATTGTAAAGTGGATGCTGTAATGAGAGTGAAATATTATTCCCATACAAACCCTAAACTTAATTTAAAACAGGATTGGCACATTCACAACCTTCGGATATTTTTCCAACACAAGTTACACATCAGCTCAATATATATTTCTTTTGGTGTTTCATTAAACAGTATGATTATGTAAAAGGAGCAGATGTACTAAAATAAAATGTATATAAATAAAATTAAATTAAATTAACAATAAACCATAGTGCACCTTGAGGGTGTAACCTATATCCATAATGAGCATTGTGCACCCGTGCACACACGTGTGTGTGTGTGTGTGTATACGTTTGTGAGCCAAATAACAGGACAGGGAACAAAAAACAAAACTCCTCTTTCTTAATTATCCACATCATTATTAATGACACAGGTATTTATACAGGTATATCTTCCAAAAATATATACAGTACAGATAATTAAATGAAAAATGTAATCTAAAAACACTTTAAATTTTCGTTCAATTTTTTTCATCTGTTTAATATCATCTATCTGTCCCTGTGCATTTGCCCCTAACCATTCACCATGGTATACAAGGGAGACAAGTAAGCATGTGTGACATTAAAGAACTGATTGCTGCGACTCAACCTTTCCACAACATTAAAGCCACTTATTCCCCCCAAGTCATGAGGAAATAATCTCTGTGGCTCCCCTCTCCCCCTCCCTCAGATCCCAGTCTGGCCTGAACATTTGTACTTCCAGTAAAAATGCACCCCAAAGACACTGACACCAAACTCAGCACTGGTGCACCGTAAAATCCAGTGATCCAGTCTCAGA